CAGGGATCTGGGGGGAAATAACTTCAGATTGATGGATTCTCACCTCGCTTTCTCATGGTTACTGCCTAGAGTTCACGAGCCCCCTCCATCCAGCATGACATTTCAACCGACTCTGGTCCCACGTAATCTATCCAAGCAATGGGCCTTTGAGTCAGAAATTTCAGATCTTCTATGGAAACCGACCATCCTTTCGGTCCTGCCACATCTTGCCTGCTTGGGCTTCATGTCCACTTTCTTTCTCACACCAAAGAAGGAACCTGGGAAGTGGAGACCAATGTTCAATTTAAAACTGCTCAACCTCTTCACACGACTGAACAAATTCAGGATGGAGACCCTCTGCACTGTCCTATAATCAATCGACATTCCAGCTTGAGCAGCTTCAATCAACCTGAAGTGTGCCTATGTGCACATTCCTGTCCACCCTGACGATCATCAATTTCTATGCTTCTCGCACTTGGGTAAGGTTTACAAGTTTCACACTCTCCCTTTCAGCCTTTCCACCACTCCCAGGGTGTTTACCAGGGTGGTATAAGCAGTAGGTGCTGTCAAAGACAGAAAGGGGAAGTTGCCGTGTTCTCATCGCTCCATTCTGGCCGAGACAGCCATGATTTCCCCACGTTGTCAGACTCCTGGTTGATGTTCTCCTGTCACTGCCTCAGCATCCGCACCTGCTATTCCAGCCTCGATCCCGCTGCCTCTATATGGACCCACTTCACCTACACCTAACATGTTGGATATTGTCCAACGATCCTTCGAGCAGGCAGGCCTTTCTCAAGATGCTGCGGCCTTGGCTGCCAGAGGTAGGTTGCTGTTCACTAGGAAAATCTACATGTACAAGAGCCAAATATGACATTTTAATTATTGGTGCAGAGGGCATGCTACAGATCTGACCAAGGCACCTCTTTCCCTCATGACAGACTTCTTTATGCACCTCTTCTGTTCTGGCCTCCATGTTTCTACGATCGGGAATTACCACTTGGCATTTGCATCTATCCATTGTGGCTTCCACGATGGATTTTCTATTTCCAATAACTCGACGATCCATTACCTCCGGGGAATGTTCATAGAATGCCCTCCAATGAAGTAGTAATTCCTTCGTGGTCCCTGGGTGATGTCCTCTGGGTTTCTGCCGGGCCCTCCATTTGAACCTGCCGGCCGCACCTCCCTTCTCCACTTGAATATCAAGCTTGCTTTTTTCAGGCCATTGTTACCACTCCTCACCAAGAACCAGACTCCCTCTTTTCAGCCCCCTGACATCTTTGTTCTAGCAATCCAGTCATTGGCAGCAACCTTCTCTGACAGACTCTGGTGCACTGTCCGGACACTCAAATGGTACCTCAACTGGACAAAGGACATCTTGGGGGCCCATCTCACAGCTATTCATCACCACTACCAGGCCTTATCGTCCAGCCTCCAAAGACACAATTGCCCAGTGGGTGGTGTCCGCCATTTAATTTGCCAACTTTGGTCTACTAGCCCTGTTGATCAATGTTAATGCCATATATGTGCCAATGATGTCCAGGCCATTTCCTCTTCCTGGGCTTATTTCAAAGGGATTCCTATTATGGACATTTGCAAAGCTGTGTGTTGGAAATCCCCCTCAACATTCACCTCTTTTTATCTCAGTCGCGTTTTGCATGGGGACCACTCTCATGGACTTGCCATGCTCAGGATGGCATCGCAGTAGCTCCACTACCCCTGCAGGAGGATACACTCAAGCTAGCTTTTGTTGATATTTATGATTTATAACATCAGTCTTCTGTGTTTTATTTGTGTCACGTTCACTTTGATTCCTTCCTTATCTTGCCCCTGGTTGAGGCTAGGGTGTTGGCGGTTTCCTCCTTTCCTCCCCACCGTCCTTGGTGCAGTGCTATTCTACATATGTATTAGTATTCTGCGTAGGTTGCAGGCAGTAGACTCTCCCCCACTTATAGTGGGTTGAGTCTACTACTACATACCTACCAGATTACCAATCTCCCTCCCTTCTCCCCACTTGGCCTCAGCGCACTGTACACTTCAAAAAAGGAGATCCTGGCGGCCGCTTCCGCAGGAGTCAAGTGAGTGAGGGTGCACTGCTGGGTGATTGAGAATTTAGCGAATGGAGTAATAGGCTAGGAAATAATGCTTACATGTATGTATTGGTAATCTGGTAGGTATGCAGAAGTAGACTCAACCCACTCGAAGGGGGGGGGGGAGAATATCCAAGGATCACAGTATTTCCTTCCAGCAAGAATAGTAAATGAGAGGACAATGTGTAAAAAGTATTATGTGATACACAAGATTTTCTTCTTATTTTGGGGGTTTCAATTACATTTTGGTAGGTGTGTGACTGGGTACCTGGTCCTAATAAAACTTGTTAACCCATGAAGATGTACATGTTCTCATCTGTATTGTAGAATAGGGGGCTACATGCACTTTGACAGCGTCCACAGGCCTCTCTAGACTGACCTGAAACATGATTCTTTTAAAATATCTGCCTGTTGGCCTGAAAGGGTGTTTGATAACAAGGGACAGAGATGTAACAACCAAGATAATTGAATGCATTCTTGTGTCTTGAATTCCCTTAGGAAATAAAAATCTCTGGTTTCCTTTTGAAAGATTTGGTTGGCTAACAAAAATGAAAAGTCAAATTGGCTCAAAAGCAGGGGTATTTTTGTTTGAAATCAGATTTTTTTTTTATTGAAATCGGATTTTGTTATTTTTATAAAAATGTGAGACAAATTGGCTCAAAGGTCTGTTCAAAAGCAAGCAAATTAGCTGCATGTGTAATCGTTTTCTTTTATTTATTTGTTTTGTGACAAAACTAAACAAAATTTCGATTTAAATTAAGAAATTTAAATCAAGTAATTTGATTCAATTCACAAAGCACCATTTCTTAGTCTTAGTGAAATGCATGCAGAATAATACCTAGCGGTACCAGAACATGTACCCGTAGCAAAGACTCTTCCTTCAGAGACAAGTTCTGTACATGCACACATACCAAGGATAAAGTGCATACCAGGTTTAAGTTTTGACAAAAGTAGAGTTTGCAAGAATTTGTTAATAGGATACTGATACATGATCAAATGACTAATGAGTGAGAAACATGCCATGAATGACAGGTACATGCATATATTTTGCATGCTACATTTGTAGGTACAAATGCTAGTATTTTTCTTTGCTCTGTGTGCAAAAAGCAGTCTCACTTTGTTTGTGATCCAGCTTCACAGAGCAATGACTTAGGCTTGATTAAAAATCACTTTATTAAGGGCATGAATTTAGTGGTTTTAGTTGTAACACCATAATGACTAACATTTCTAATCTCAATAAAATACATGTAGAGATGTAAAAGGGTGATATACACTCATACTTTACCATGTTAAACCATGGAGGAAGGACACAGAAGGAGTTTGAACTGCCCGGGCTATAACATCTGGCCAATTACCTCCTTCTGGCATGTCCAGTATGTCCATAGCCAGAGTGCAGTGAATGCCTGCTACGCACCACCTGTTTCACAACCATAAGCCCCTTTTGTACCCTATGATCATTTCTGCAATTTTTAGCACTGCAGTATAGGAAGTTGAATATTCTTGCGGTCAATGGTGCTTGGTGTGATCTGAAAACAATCTCAAGTTGCTTGTACATGTATTAGGCTGTGTGCCCTTAGTGTTCATGTGCAGTCATTGCCCTTATCGAATGTTTTCTTATGGAGTTATTTTGGGAATGAATAGCCAAGTTGTTTATAAGATATTGTGTTTTATTTGAATTAGTTTTATTATGGCATTTATACAAAAAAGCATTTCATGAGATCTCTTGAGCACTCTTTGTGATGAAATAGCACATTTTGTTTTTTATGAACTTAACTGTCCAGTGATGGTCAACATGTCATGAGCCAGTATTTGCCTTACAAAAATTCTTACAAAGACTTTGAAAACTGATGTTTGGAGAGACAAATAAAATTGCGATGGATGGATAATGGAACAGTGTATCAAAGTAAAAAGTTTATTCATGATGGCAAAAGTAGATCGAATGTTAGAGATTGCTCTCTATTTCCTGGTCACAGTGAAAGTTGCAGTTAATTGCAAACAAAATACACAAAATATTGCGAGGATATTACTGGTCTCACTTGTACGGCTAAGCTGCAGGCAGTAATCAGGCATTTTTTAATGTTTTGGAATGGATCAGGCGGCAATGCTCATCGAGCACTTTGAAGTGCCAGAGTTCTAACTCTTTCTGTGTCCTTCCTCTATGGTTAAACTTTGAAGTGGGCAATTTAAATGAAATAAACTTAAATCATAAGTCCTTCGCATCAAATAACTTACTGAATCAAAAAAAAAACTGATTTAAATCTGAACAAGTGTACAGAATTGAATTTAAAAATCTTGCCAACGCAGAATTTGTGTAACACAGGTGCATTCATACTTCTTTGATACTAGGAACTGGAAGGCTTACAGAAGGGGGATTTGCTGTTTAAACTGTGTAAAACCCGCAAACATTTCCAATCAGTAAACAAAAAATTCAAAAATTGAAATATTTTTGCCTTTTTACCCAAAAATTAAATGCGTTGATTTAAATCAGTGATTTTTAATAAAGAATCATTTGATTTAAATTGCATTTAAATTGGTGATTTAAATCAGGCAACCCTGCTCAAAAGTGTTGGCCAGATCTCTTCACTCTACCAACATGACTAAGCACCAAGTTCTGCCTACAGAACTAGCACCGAAATTATTGCTAATGTGAGAAGGAGGCTGCACAGATTTGGCTAAAGATTTTCTTTTTGACATTCACTTTGCACACAGTATTTGCTTTCTCTAAACAGCACCTGAAATAAATTCAGCTCTCTAGGTCTTTTATATTTAGTTATGTACATGTACTTTACATTTATCGCAAAATCATAGTTAATGCTTTAATTAGTTGGTCATATTTGTCATATGTTATCTATTATTACGCAGACATTGAACTTCCTTTTAAGGAATTTGTTTGCCCCTTGAAGCAGTAGTTTATTTTGCTGTTGATTTCAGTTTCACTGCAGAAAGGTAATTGCAGCAACTCTCTCCAAAGACCTACGCAGTCTGTCTGTAATGTTAGACCAGTCCCATGATGACACCAACTTCGAGTGTACTGTTTATCTGCTGTCGGTAAGTGTACACTTGAATTTGTATTTTTCATTAGAAAATTTGCAGATTTTGCTTTGACCCTAAAAGAGCCGGATTATTCTGATTATTATTATCTCACAGCTGGGGAGGGGGGTTCTGCCCTGGCCACCCACCAAGAACTAGGTTGTGCCTCACTCAATTTTTTACAACTTAACATGCATATAAAACAGACTTAAAGGCTCAACTCCTGAAAAACTGCTGCGATATTGGAAAAATGGGGGGGGACAGGTTCTGCCCTTCTCCCCTCGGCTCTTTCAGGGTTAAAAAAGTACCACAGTGCACCACTACTATAAGGCCTGCCCTCAAAAATGACTCTGCAAACTGTTCACGAAGGTTTGTCAACATCTGGCTGTTTATGTGGGCAAAGCTATTCTGCGAACGTTGCAGTGCTACTCATTTATTCGTGGTCAAGTCAATGAGTAACTGAAGGAAATACAGTCGCAGAACTGAAGCCCAACTCCTATGATTTGCTAAACATAATTGAAGCATAGAGCAAGGAACTATGGATGAAGTACATATGAATAGAAACATCCCATGCTAACAACTACATTCACTCCCAGTGATACCAGTTCCAATTGGTCACTGGTACCATAGCGCAAGGAACATTCCATGGAACCCTGCTGAAAAATGACGGTCCATGGCCGTTTCGGAACCATTCGGAATGACTTCCAGGAGCAGCTGGACAACCAAATTAGTCTCTATTAGAAAGAATCACTTCTTGTTAATTGACAAAACAAACAAACAAACAAACAAACAAACAACCAAAAACAACTGAACAGCAACCTTTATTAATAAGGGCGGGCAAATGAGAATCAAACGTCTTTGAAGAATATTGTAACACAGTGAATCCCGTACAAGAAATATATCAGACCTCTTTTATTTTACTTGGATATTCAGGAAAATCTGTCCATTGAAATGCCTGGGCTGATGCACAGTTATCAATGTAGCATATTGTAACAGCCTGTGATTCTGACTCAGAAAGAATATAACCAAAAGCCACTAATTTACAGTTTCAGTAGTTTTTAAACAAAATATACATTTAGTTGGAGGGCAACTAAATTATCCAACACTTAAATTTCATTAACCAAGCCACAGCAGTGCGTAGTTGTCCACTGGTACTAATGTCTAAGAAAATGAAACAAAACACAGCCAGTGCCCAGTCCCAAATCCACACTGGGCTAAAACTACAAAAGGGTTCTAAAGGAAAGTAACAAGTCAATTCAATAAAGGAAGTTCGAGTTACACACTTTTAAAGAATGGTTAATCTTCTGTGGCATTCCACTGTGTGGCCACAGCCAGGGGCCCATCTGGCCGAGGCCAGGCAACGGTATGTAAGACATTTAATGAGTGCTGCTGTGGCTGGCACAAAAATAACCTTAATTGTTACAATATTTTGAAAGAAAAAATGTTTTATTCCTAATCCAGCATGGCGCAGACCCTATTAAATGTTAGCATTGGTCAAGGTATTTGTCATTTGTCGCGGCGCAGAATGGTTGCACTAAGGTGCAGCGCAGGAGGGTTGCACCAAGGTGTTTGTTCTGGTTCAGCTGATTTGCAGATTTTTTAGGCCGTGTGAGGTTACTCTTTGCCTTTGCAATGTATGCAGGTATGTACATACGCAGGTACATAGGCCTACTAGGTCAGTGAGTGGCTGGTGTGCGCTGCGCTGCAACGAATGACAAACGCCTTAACCAAGGCTATTTAAATGTCGGTCATATTAAACGTTTGCTGCTAACGTTATTTAGGACTGGTCTGAATAACTTAGACTCTACGAATTGCCTTTTCAAACATTTAGACATGGTGGGTTGAAATGTTTAGAAGGCTATTCATGGAGTATTGCAAGTGACTTACTCAGACTTATTTAGGCCTATTTCATTTAAATCGTCTGTAACATATCCAGTGAAAAGTCTTCTCTTTTTTTTTTGTCCCCTCTCAAAATACAAAAATACATCACCACAAAGATAAATACAAATACAGAATGTAGTACAGCATAAGTGGGGAAAAACAGACATTATAGAAATGAACAATGTCTCCTTTTTGCGTAATTAAATTAAATTGTACTTTATTTTTGGGGTGATCAATACGTCTTCGAAACCCTAAGTGTCAAGACCTTTGAAATTTTTGTGTGCTTCTTTTATTATTGCCTCTGAGTACCATTTTCCTCCATCTGGAATCAAAGCGAACACTTTTTTTCAACCATAAAATGCACACTTTAAGGTGATAGATCACATCAATTTTCAAGTTAGGGTGGGGGATGCACTGTACCCTGAAGTTCTTGCCTTCTCTCACAAAATATGTGCCCTTGGTCGGAATCCCCCTGCCTCCCCCCTTTAGAAAATCTTGGATCTACACATGCTATACTAATCAAAGCGCTGCACTGGTTAAACTGGTGCAGCAAGACAACTCACAAACTCTACAGCCTAGTGGCCCACACAGGAAACAGGTGTCGGTAGCTGCTAACAATCTTGTCCACTGCGAAAAGGTCCAGCTAGTTTGGCTCTATGCCAAAGAGAGAGTATGGGAAAATAAAATCAACTTAAAACTGACAGATAGATTGTTGTGACCACAGAATTCCGCTACCAATTAGACGACATGGTGGGAAAAAATTAAGCCCAGCAGCATGTTACATGCAAGGCTGTAAAACCACCCAATCATCCGAAATGTTGGCCAAACCATTGGTGTGTACAAGGGATATCCATAGTTACATTATTGCCATGGATATCTTGTGGTGGTGTTTGGCCTCGTAAATATTCATAATACAGTTTCTGAGAGTTTATGTGCCAATTCTCTTCTAGCTGGTTATTCAAATATTGGTAATAATTTTTAAACTTTTGAGGTTCCAGTATATTGAAGATATACACAGATAACACTAAACACTGTGCACAAACCCATGAGACTATTTTTTTTAATGTTTCTGAAATATGTACTTCAATATTTTCACTGCTAAATTTGTCATTTTCGGTCATGTCACTGCTTTTTGTAGATGTAAGTCACTCTATGGAGAAGCATTGTTCGTTTTTATATATGGAAGTCTTTCCAATCCATGGTTAAGCATAAAAGTGAATGATTATTCGGCTGGACATAATTTCCATTCGGTATAAAATTAAAATGGATTTTTGACTCATATTCAAAAGTGGTTTCCTGTAATAAAAAAAGTCACAGACGTGATCATACATTTTTGTAGGATGCAGGTGAAACTTGAAAAGAGCTTGGCAGTTGTATTAAACATACATGTAAATACATATCTGATTGAAATTCACTACTCTACAATATGAATGCAAAAACAAGAACAAGACACACTGCAACAAATAATGTTCTAAATGTGGAAATCATAAACCTCTCATTACTTTTTCCGTTTCTTGACAGGAAAAGACTTTCTGACCATTTCTGTTTAATGCGGGCATTATGAATAACACAACGGGCTTGATTGTTGTAATTAGTATTTTCATATTCAAGAGCAAAACTGTGATGTCATCGCAGGAAGAAAGCCTCATTGTCACATTGATTTTACACATGCAAAAATCCTGTACCTTTGTGTCACGGTTAACCCTAACCAGTAAATTCTGGGTTCACAATTTTAATAGATTTATTTGAAAACTTTATCACCTCAGTGATACAGTAAGAATGGAAGGATTTGCATAAAAAAAATTATAAAATAAGACCCACAGAAAACAACGACTATGGACAAAATACAAGCAAACGACGATATAATCACCTGTCAGGGGAAATAAAGGGAGGGGTGTTTTGAAACCTAGGACTCGGTTGAAAAAAAAGAATGGGAAGCCTGAAAAGGCCTGGCAACATTGAAAACGAAAAAACAAATTCAATAGAACCAATCACCAATATTTATGATGACAATGATGTCATGCGCACGATATAGACCTTTTTCCTTTGATGTTATAATCGTGCTGGAGCGCGATGTGTTGTGATGGTAATGAGTGCACAGTGTTGTGATGGTAATCTACTTAACCCCTTGACGACTGGAACTTTTTCTGAAAGCTGACTCCGAGAATTCCAGCCTCGCTTGGCCACGAAAGCCACCTGCCAAATCACAAATTCTCGGTTTGTGGCCCTGCGTGCTCTGCAGACTTTGAATTACACAGTGAAAAGGCTGATTGTTGGGTGGCATGCGGCTCTACTCATGCTTCCATATTCCTCTTGCCTCTTTTCAAAGTGGGGACTACTGTGAAGCTGGTGATTATGATGCAATTTGATCTTTTCATTTCTGGGCTACACACAAAGGCCAATCACCATACATGTATGTACCAGAGCCAGGGTCTGTCTTCTTTCACCGTGTTCGCTCGAGCGTGGGCCGAAAATAATTGCCTTGGTGCATACAGCATTAGTGATTGGCACGGGTCGAGGGACGCTGCATGCAATCCTTGAGTTCCTCACACCTAAAGTGTAGCAGTGCTCTACGTACTGCCAGCTATACGCTGTTGGTCGAGATCATTGACTGTCGTTTTTATTTGTATAAATATAAATTCTCCCACGCTTTGAGGCATTGTACAAATTGTAAATAAAATTCTGAATGTAGTATTCATGCCACCACGTTCCCTGTTGTCTTTATTTATTTATTACTTTATAACTGAGTCCGTATACCACTCGGTTACGTAAGTAACTATTGGATGAAACTATTGTACAGCGAGCAAAACACTGTGTATTCCACATGAGGTTACTTCCAAGTCTAACTAGTGAGTTACAATTAAAAATACATGTATTTATGTAAAACCATGGAGAATAAAAAGGTTAAGAAGAAAAAGGGATGAAAGGAAGATAGCATGTCTCTATCTGGGAAAAAACTGTTCAATTCACAAAGATGACTTAGGTTCAGGTTGTAGAAAAAGGAAATTGAAAAATTCAACAAGCAAAATAGATCAAGGTGAGGGAATGGAAGAGAACTATTGCACTATTAAAACATCAAATATTTCAATGTTAAGCTCACAACAATATTAAATTATGGGCTGCAATTAAGAAGAATA